TGGAGCTGGAGCTGCTTGGCTGAGCCTCCGGAGAGCCTGGGAGCTGTGTAGCCAGCTAATTCCCTGGAATGAACTGTACACTCAGAGCGCCCTGGCTCGGAAGGGACCTTAAAGATCGTCTGATTCCCAACACCTGCCATGGGCAGGGACACCTTCCACTAGCCCAGGTTGCTCCAAGCCCCGTCCAAGTTGGCCTTGGACACTTCCAGGGATGGGGCAGTCACAGCTTCTCTGGGCAACCTGTGCCAGGGCCTCCCCACCCTCACAGGGAAGAATTTCTTCCTAATATCTAATCTAACCCTGCCCTCTTGTCAGTTTAAGATCCAGTGGAAGGGCTAAAACGTCAGAGTACAGACCTTTGGCTGACACTTGGTGCAGATGCTTTTAAGTCCCTGCTAGATTCCTGCACTGCCAGTGGGGTGTTTTCAAGGAGGAGAGCATCTGTCTGGAGGCCTGGAGCTGTGAGCTCCAAAGTGCCCTCCATTACTGCCCCACTTTCACGCTGTGGTTTCATCTTGCTGTTCTAAAAGGCTTTCAGGGGCTGCATCCTCTGCAGAAGAAGGTAACAGCAAGGGGAATTGTTACCTTCAGGTGTGTGTTATATTTTTAACCTACTTTCATGAGAAAGCAACATACATATCCTGAAATTGTTGGCTTCTCTTGCCTCGTCTTTCCATTCCTCTCCCAAGTATTTTTTTACTGTCAATATTGACTGATTTTCTTAGGCAGGCTCTTCATTCATTTACTTTCACCGATTTTGAGCTGAGAGACTGTTTTCTTTACCCTCTGTGGGGGAAAGGGGAATTGTAACCTTTATCAGAAGAGAGCTGGTGGTGTAGTGATAGAGCAGTTGAACCTGGGGATTCCCTGGCTGCAGGAGTTTGCAGGAGAGAACAGGAAAGCTCTTAAACAAAGCATTATAACATGCCTCGAAACCAGGCTGCCTTTGCTGCTTGTGAGTCTGTTTGATTCCAGACAAGTGAACGCAGAATTTTGAAGATGTCACCTGGCTCATTCCTCCTTGGCTGGCATGTTCTTTGGGACAAGGGAGGAACATGCCTTGCTTGGTCAGTGATGCCCTCGGGTTATGCCTGTGGGAGGGAGATAGAAACTCTGAGGGACCACGTCACCCACTGATTTGATTATGTAAGGATGTGGGGGCGAGGGAAGGACTTGGCTTTTTAAGGAGGGGTGGGGGGGGAAAGGGCATTTCTGGTCAGGAGGGTGTTGAGACATTCTCAGTGCGGGACAATTGCCAAGTAAACGTAACGTTAACAGAAACTGTACATACCTGACAGAAGTACAGCCCTGGGACTGCTCCCGGGGGGGTTTCATGCCTCTCTCAGGTGGCATGGAACCTCAGCCCGGTCCTACGCTGGAATGTGTCGCTTCGGTATCAGCTGTTGACATTTGCAAATGACTCCCTTGCAGCCAGCCCCTCCCTGCTGCCTGTCTCGGCGGGAGGGCTCAGCCACGGGTTCCCTACATGTTATTTAGGAGAAGCTGCTTTGCCGGCGGTGCCCAGAAACGTGACCTGGTGAGACAAGGGGTCTGCCCAGGTCTGGGGCGCAGCGCGGAAGGAAAGCAAGTGCCAGTCAGCTTTCCTGGGGGAAATGAGGAAGAGGCACTGCCCTGAGCCACGCGAGAGAACCCTTCCCATTCATTTCGAGCACTGCGCGTTCCTTTCCTTGAAGGTAACGCGGTGCTGCTGTAATGCCACTGCGAGGAGTGTTGGTATGTGTGACATAAACACATTACTTAATAACCGATTTTGCAAGAGGGGAAAAGTAAAGCTCCACCTTATCCTCTGAGATAAGGTATTCTTGGCTCTCCAAGCGTAACTTCCCCCGGGCTCGCTGCAGCCCTGACTCCGTGGTGGGGTGGAGGATGCTGGGTTTCAGGTCTGGCAGCTCCACTGCTGCAAAGCCCGAGGAGCACTCCAGTTCCACGTGTAGGAAAGAGGGACCAGCACACCTGCCCCGCCCTCCAAATGATGGGCAAAGTAAAGGTTTTGACAGCATCTCTAAGGTACCACTGCTGTAGGAGTGAATTCAGGAAAATATGCTGCTAGTGGAAACTTTCCCTGGATCCTGTTATCATTGTGGGATTTACTGTTGTGCTGCTAACTCTGCAGAGAGGCTAAACCATGGATTTTGTAACAACATTCCATAACTACGTGTTCCATTTTAGTGCTTTTCCTCCTCCTTGCTTTCTATTCTTGACCAGGTTGTGTCATTGCACTTTGCTGGTAGAAAGCTGTGTGATGCCATAAGCCCAAGATTAGTCCTTGATGGTTGGATCAATGAGGAGAGAGGCTAAAAGGGCAAAAACAACTGTGAATATCTTTACCTTTATTAGCAGCGTGCAGACAGTAGGAGAAATGAGCTGTATTTACCCACTTACTTGATTTCTTTTTCTCCTCTCATCCCCTCTCTCAGTCTTTGATCCGTGACTGCAGGCAGCCCTCCTCCATTCTCAGAAATAACCACATGGCCTGTTTCATATCAGAGTTTCTAATTGCTTCTGAAATAAATGTGATTAAAAAATTAATCAGGTAAAATCTAATCACAGAATGTACTTCATTAATATTCTTTGGTACCTTTAATGTATGTGTGGAAATAAACGAGGCTGTATTTTGCTTTGGTAAGGCTGAGTCAGGCTTTGCTCCTGCAAAAGCCAAACGCAGAGGACTCAGGCACTGCCTTTTTGCTCTCTTTCCATACAGCAGCTGGCACAACTTCCCCGTGAGGGTTGGTGAGGCCCTGGCACAGGTTTGCCCAGAGAAGCTGTGCCTGCCCCATCCCTGGCAGTGTCCAAGGCCAGGTTGGACGGGGCCTGGAGCAACCTGGGTTAGTGGAAGGTGCCCCTGCCCCTGGCAGGGGATTGGAATGAGGTGATCTTAAAGGTCCCTTCCAACTCAAACCATACTGGAATTCTATGAACTTGGGAATGGCAGGCTCAGGCTGGGACCTAATGCTGCTCCACACAGCTAGTGAAAACAAGATGGGTGGTTTGGATCTTCCCAGCTTTGAAGCATCAGAATTTCAGATTTTTAGATTTTTTT